AGGTGACGGCTGCGAAGAGAAGACATCCCAGCTTCTTCTGGTAGTCTCGTATGCCAGCGGGCTTGAGTAGAGCGGAGCTTCCTTTGTCGTTCCCTGCCGTGTAGCGGTATGGCGTGGAGATGGCTGTCGGTGTGAGCGTAAAGCGTTTGGCGATGGTGTCGGCATATTTCTCGGCGCTGAGGTAGATCGCGTCCTCCTCTTCCCGGATGTTGAGGCCGAGGTACTGAGTGACGGTAGATGAAACTGTGAGCGTGAGATCTCGTTGCAGCTCCCCTTCGAACCAGGTAGTGATGCCGTCATTTGAGCCGATGTAAAGGAGATCGTCCACGTAGACGATTAGTAGGATGTAGTCGTCGTTTTTTGTGAGCCGGTACATGCCTTGATCGTGCGGTAGTTGCTTGAAGCCGATGCGGATGAGGCGAGCGTGCAGGTACTGTTGCCACAGTCGCGAAGCCTGCTTGATGCCGTAGAGTGACTTGAGTAGCTGGCAGACTTGGTTGGGTTCTCTGTGGGAGCCGTGCGGTAGCTCGACAAAAATTTCTGCATCAACAGGTGCGTAGAGAAACGCGTTCGCGACGTCAATTTGTCGCAGCTTTTTCTTCTTCATGGCGGCGATTGCGAGGAGAATGCGTAGTGAGGTGTGGCGGCTAACCGGAGCGAAAGTTTCGGTGAAGTCGCGTCCGTGTTCTTGGTCGAAGCCGCGTACAACCCAGCGAGCTTTAAATTTGTCAATGGTGCCGTCAGCCTTTGTCTTCACACGGAAGACCCACTTCCCGGTGAGCACTGTCTTGTTCCGTGCCACGCCGATAGGAACCACTTTCCACGTGTTGCGTTCCTCCAGTGCCTTCAGCTCCTTGTCCATGGCTTCGCGCCATTTTTCCTTATGCTCCCCCCCCAGAGCCTGTTGAACCGTCGCAGGCTCTTTAGGAATGGCGGTGCCATGGACTGCGGTGACGAGTCCGAGAATTTGCAGTCCACTCTGTGAGTAGCGGGGAAGATTTGCGTCCTCGGGATAAGCTGCTTCATCTCCCACTTCTGGATCAGGTATGAAGTTGGGTCCTACTCGTTCTGCTTCGTTGGTGTTGACTGTCACAGGTGTTACGTAACCGTTGTCGGCGAAATAGTAGAAGGTTTCGGCGTTGACACTTTCGCGAGGGTTATCTTCGTCCATGGGAACGTCGACGGAGCAGAACGGAAGAGGTCCGGCTTCTTCTGATGCGTTGTCCACATTCTGCTCGTCCCAGTCAGCTTCGTTCGTTGCTGAGGCGAAGGCTCGGTCACCGCGAAAACCACCTGTGGGATCCTGGTCTTCTTGCAGGTTGGCAAGGTATGTCTGGAGCGTGAGTCGTTCGTAGAAAATTACATCACGTGCTGCTACTGTTTCCTTGGAATGGACGTCGAATATTTTCCACGCGTTGTAGTTCTTTTCGATTCCCAGGTGTAGTCCCCACTGTGCTCGTTGAGAAAATCGGCCCGCTCGTGCTGCTGGGGGTCGGTACTGTACCATGCATCCGAATACTCGTAACATTTTTGTGCTGCCCTGTTTCCCTGTCCATAACAGATGCGGTGATGCGTTGTTTGGAAGCGATGATGACGAGAGCAAGTTGTGCAGCATGACGGCGTGGTCCATTGCCGCAGGCCACTGGTGGTTGGGTAGCCGCATGCCACGTAACAGTTTGCGCATGCTGTTCTGCAAGGTCCTGTTCATTCTTTCTGCTACACCTTGCTGCTGATGGGCGTAGGGAAGGGAGATGAGCCGCTTGATTCCCCTTTCCGCCAGGTACTGCTTGAATCGCTGAGAGGTGTATTCTCCTCCTCCGTCTGACTGGAAGCTTTTCAGTTTCACGCCCGATTCTCTCTCTGCTACTGGTATCCAGGCAACGAAGGCTGTGAATGCCATGTCGCGGCTAGGGAGGTTTAGGTGCCAGACGTAACGGGTGGCGGCGTCGATGAAGGTGATTGTATAGTTGTATATTACTTGTCCTGGTTCCCGATTGTACAGGATGTCGCTATACACCTTCTCGAGTGGTGCGTACGCGGGTGCGCTCGGGTTGTGATGAGACGCAAACGGTCGATGTGGTAAGTCACCTTCACGGCAGGTGAAGCACGTTCCGCGTACTCGTTGAAGTTCTCGTCCGTCGGTCAGTAGGAGTGAGTCCTTGTCGAGTACTCCTACTCTTATCGTATTGTTTAATACTGTGTTGCTTGGGTGTCCCATCCTTGCGTGCCAGGTGCTTTCGTCGGCGCGATGTCCGGGTGATCGTCGGTACATATCAGAGTTGGAGTAGAAGTTGGCGGTGAAGTTGGCGCTACGATGAACTTCTTGTGGTGCTGGGTGTAGTTGTTGCGCGGGTGTCGGTGGTGTGTCGTCGACGAGGAGCGGTGTCGTTGAAGGACCAGCAATTGGTGTTGACGTTCCTGCTGCTGCCGTTGATGGTTCTGCTACTGCAGATGTTGTCTCTGCTGCTGCCGATGCTGTCTCTGCTGCTGCCGATGTTGTCTCTGCTGCTGCTGATGTTGTCTGAATTGTTGCTAACGCCCTTGTTCTTTCTGCTTCAGGGATGGTGTGTGAATACCAGAAGCCTTCTGGACTGAAGTCTGGATCAAGGTCTGGAGGGTGTGTCCAGTTGGTGAAGTTAACGATGGCGTCGCTGTCGGCGGTGCCAAGATCAGGAACGAAATCGAGAACGAAGACGTTGTTCTTGAGGACCGCCTTGCCGATGTAAAGTCCTCCTCTCCCGTGATACAGCTTGAATTCTTGGGTGGTGCTGTCTGCTTCGAGGTGAATCCCTTTCGCCATTAGCTGACTGACGCTCAGTAAGTTGTAGCCGAGTCCCTCCGCGATTAGTACTTTTGACATCTGCAGTATAACGTTTGTTTCCCTTGACTGAAGTTGAACTACGCCTTGTCGTCGTGTTCGCAGGTTCTGATTTTTGGCGACTGTAATGACAACTTCGCGTTGAAGTTGGTGTTCTCGTTGAACGAAGCGTCCCGAGGAGCACATGTGCTGTCCGCAGCAACTGTCCAAGAACCATGTGTCCTTTCCGGATGGTTCGCTTTGGGCGATGGCGGCTTATGTCGTGTTCGGCTGAAGTGACTCGCGGCGGGGTGTGGTTTCGTCGAGTTGTTTTTCCGGTGAGTAGTGTGGTGGTGACTCGGTGATGCAGGAGTCACTCAGCTTTGCCATGCAGCTGACGATGTTTCTTGCTCCTTGTGCAGGTTGTCCCGTTGAAGTCGTTGAGGCTTGAATCTGGGTCGTGGGATTTGCTTGCGTTGAGGCGATTTGGCTGCTTGAAGGTCGAAGTTGGTGTTATGGAGTTGTTGACTGTTGACGATTTGGGCAGTGCGTACGCGGGTGTCCTGAAGTTTTGCATATGTGGCAGAACGGAGGTACTGGCTTCGGTTGTTGCTGCCGGTTGTTGTTGTTGTTGTAGCGTCGCTGAGTGTGGAACGCGAATTCCGGTGCTGATGTCTTCTTTTTGTATCGTTCTTCTTGCAGGTCCATGTCTTGCTGCTCGGCGTGGATTTCGGCGCAGAGCGCTGCTTCGGAGATTCTTCCGTGAGCTCGGAGAATGGCCTTTGTGGCGCGCCATTGAGGACCGAGGCCGCCGATGATGACTGTCACGAAGGCATCTTCAGAGATCGACCCTCCGCATCGAAGAAGCTTGTCGCGCAACTCGCGACATCGACTGATATACGCCATTCCTTTCTCCCCTGGTTTCATTTCAACCGTTGTCAGTTGCGCCATTAACCGACTTTGGCTTACGCTATCTGTTGCTTGATACAGGCTCTTCAGGTGGTTGTACGCGAGCTCCGCGGAGTTGCCGTAACCTCGGTAAGACCTTATGTTCTGCTGTTGAGTCGGGGTGATATTCCTCAGTAGGATCGTGTACGCCATCATTGACTGATAGGTGTACTGCTGCTTCTCGTACTGTGTGCCGTTTGTTGGGTATGGCAGAGACCCGTCGAAGAACCCGAGTATCTGCGCGCCTTCCATCATCAGCTCGAACTCGAACGACCAGGTGAAGAAGTCCTTTCCATCGAAGGGTCTTGACGTCTGCATCTTCAGAACGTGTGCGAACTGCGACTGAACTTGTAATGCGTCCAGTGATTTTTCTTGTCCAGGTGAAGGCTGTGGGTGTGGCATAAAGCTGATGGACCCGCGCTCGTACGGAGCAAAGGTAGGCTGCTGTTGTTGATTTCCTCGTGCATATGATGAGCCGTCGAGACTTATGGGTGTTGCTCCGTTGTTGTTGCTGTTGTGTGACTGCGCAGGTGCCGATTGCTGGTGTTGCTCGTAGAAGGACATGAAGGAGAAAAACTTCTCCATCATGCTCTGGTCGAAGTCTGCAGGTTGATTCGCGGGAGTCTCGGTAGATGTTGCTCTGGGTCTTGTTGCTGTGCCCTCCTCTGTCTGTAGGCCAGAGGTAGGAGGTGGAGTAGGAGTAGTGCCCTGGGAGCCGTTGGAGTTGCTCCTTTCCTTTTGTGTAGCCATGCTTGTTGATGTTGTCGGTATAGAAGTTGAATTCCCCCTGATAGCTCTCATACCATGTTGGGCTGAAAAACCCTTAGGATCTTTGCAGGGGTGAACTTTGGGTAGAGTTGGTGTAGTAGCGGAAGCGTTAATTAAAGAGTTGTGAACCACCTTGCGCTAGTATGTGAGGGCAAAGTAAGTTGATTAAAACAAAGAGATACAAGCTTTTATAAGAGTACAAGGAATACGAAGAGATACAGTTAATAACCGTTTTACTATTGCTGTTGCGGTTCGATACAGTGACGACTCGGGCAACTGCTCAATACCGAGTCAGTTGTTTGTCCTTGCTGTCGCGCTGTACTTTGTCAGGTCAAAGGTCGCTGACCTTTGACTTTCGCGTAACCTCCAACAGTTACTTTCAACCTCCGAGGGTTGACTCGCCGGTGATTCGTTATACTTCGTTTCTTTTGTGTCTTAGTGTTTCGACACGACAGAGGCGCTTAGGACCGATTGTTTCCAACAATTCTTAGTCGTAGCTATCTCCTTGCAGAACTCACGATTTTCACACCAGCACCATCACTACCGCCAACTCCAGCATTCTTTGCAAGCGTGGCCGTTTTGAAAGTTGAGCCAAAATGGCTTTGCAGGCAAAGGATACCTGATTTCCCAAATAGGTTTTATTGTGTTTCTTTACTTGCTTGCTTCACTATTCACTGTTGTTACCACGCCAGGGCCTTTGATTTGTCTCAAATCTGTAGAAGCAGGATTCGGCACTCCTCTCTCCCCCACTCCTTCCTGCCCTTGAGATGCCTGTGTTGGCTCTCCTCCTCTCAGTCCCGCTGCCTTTCCTCCTCCCCCTCCTCTCCCGCCTCCGCTTTCCCCCCTTTCCCCCCCTTCTCCCTCTCCTCCTCCTACCGCTCTCTCTCCTTCACCTCTCTTGCTCCCTCCCCCATCATTCCCTCCCTTTCTTCTATCACTACCCTCCCCTCCCCCTCCCCCGCCATCCCCTCCCCCACCAGCACCCACCAATCCCTGCAGTTGCTGCACCTGACTGGCCAGCGCCGCCAGCTGGCGCTGCAGCGACGCCACGTCAACAGTTGCCACATCAGCAGATGCCACCCCAGCAGATGCCACGTCACTGTGCCTCGTGGTGACATTTTTGCGAGCTGGTGACAAGTCAGCTGTAGCTGTTTCCGCACCTTCCTGCCTCCCTCCATCACCCTCACTCCCCTTAACTGCGGATGCCTCTTCTGCCTGAAGCTCCTGCTTCAGGGAAACATGCAAACGCAACACGTGAAGGAAGTAGATGAAATGATGTACCACATCTTTCGATGTTTCCCCCCTCACCCTCACTCTCCTTGACTGCAGATGCTTCTTCTGCCTGAAGCTCCTGCCAGGGAAACATGCGAAAGAAACACGTGTAGGGAGTAGATGAAAACAATCTATCGCATGAGAAGGAGTAGATGTCTCAAGAGTCGCCCCTTCCGCCAACTCACAATCTCACTTCCACTCTCTCTCTCCTTGACTGCAGATGCCTCTTCTGCCTGTAGCACCTGCCTCAAGGAAACACCACAGTGCATCGAAGCACATGAAGGGGCATGGGGCAGAGAGCACGGGAGCACACGAGTAGACTTCACGGTTTCCCCCTCTCACTCCCCCTCCAACTGTCACTCCCCTTGACTGTAGATGCGTCTTCTGCCTGTAGAGGCACATGAAGGGGCATGGGGCAGAGAGCACGGGAGCACACGAGTAGACCGCAAGGTTCCCCCCTCCACATCCCTCTCCTTCTCTCTCTCCTTCACTGCAGATTCCTCGTCAGTCTGAAGCTCCTGCAGCAAGGAAACTTTGCAAGGCATAGAAGCACGTAGGGGCATGGGTAGAGGGCACGGGAGCACACGAGTAGACCTCACGGTCTCCCTCCTCATTCTTCCCAACACTCCAACTCTCATTCTCCTTGACTGTGAATGCCTCCTGTGCCTGTAGCTCCTGCAGCAAGGGAACACCGCAAGGCACGTAGAGGCACATGAAGGGGCATGGTTGGAGCATATGGGAGCACAGGAGTATACCTCACCGTCTCCCCTTCACAGTCCCTCCCACACTCACTCCCCTTGACTGCAGATGCCTCTTCCGCCTGTAGCTCCTGCTTCAAGGAAACACCGCGAGGCACATAGAGGCACGTGAAGGGGCATGAGAGCAGAGAGCACGGGAGCACATGAGTAGACCTCACGGTTCCCCCTCCTCATTCCCACTGCCACCCTCACTCTCCTTGACGTTTCAGGCAAGGAAACACCGTAAGGCACAGAAGCAAGTGAAGGGGCAAGGAAACGTGGCAAGGCACATAGAGGCATGTGACGGGGCATGATTGGAGCACATGGGAGCACATGAGAGCACATGAGAGCACATGAGAGCACATGAGTAGACCTCAAGGTTCCCCCCCCACACCAACTGCCACTCCACTGTAAATCACTGACATCTCTTCCAAACACAGACGCCACACACACTCACTTCTCCCTTCCCACTCACCTTTAGGCCAACACACTCACCTTTTCCTTCCCAGCAAACCCTGCTTTGGGCATTTTGCACAGTCAGATAGTCAAGGGTCCGTTGGCATACCGGCATACCGCGCAGTCAGTCAGATAGTCAAGGGTCCGTTCACTAATCGAGTCGATTCAGAAGTCACTTAGTCAAATTACCACCCACTGATATATTCTCACTCATCCCCAGCATTCCCTTTGGAATTCATGACATCCCAAACAGGCCACCCCCCCACACTCAGCGCATAATCACTGCTCTCCTCCCTACTCACCCTTCTCATCCCCAGCAATCCCTTCTAAGTTAATAACATCCCCCCCAAGAACCCACCCCCCCCCCTTTCGGCATCACTGATACCCCCCCCGCACTCGTGCATTCTGCTTTGGCACACTGCGCGCAGGCAGTCAGATAGTCAAGGGTCCGTTCACTAATTGAGTCGCCTCAGGAGCCACCTAGTCAAATCTCCGGCCATCATAGTAATTTCACTCATCCCCAGCATTCCCTTTTGAATTAACGACATCCCCCCCAACCCATTCTGAAATGCACGGTAGGGTGTATCTCAACTCACACTCGTAAAATCAATGACATCCCCCCCAACCCACCCCCCCACACTCTCCGTTTCCATCCTCACAATCCCTGCTCTGGCATACTGCACAGTCAGATGGTCAAGGAGGGACCGTCCACAATACTATTTTCACTCGTCCCCCCAGCATTCCATTCTCAAATGCACGGTAGGGTGTATCTCAACTCAACTCATATTCCCTTCTGAATCACTGATATCTCCCCCAAACCACCCCCCTACACTCACTTTTGCACTCCATACTGGATCACTGATATCCCCCCCACACCACCCCCCCACAGTCAGAAAGTCAAGCGACCGTCCACTATACCATTCTCTAAACCATCCTTTGAGTCGACTCAGAAACCACCCCCTCCAACACTCACCTTTTCCATCCTTGCAATCTCTGCTTTGGCATATTGCACGGTCAGATACACCGCTGCAAGGGGAGAGGGGGAGAAGGGGAGGGGGGGAGAGGGGGAGAGGGGGAGAGGGGGAGGAAGGGGAAAGGCAGGTGTGCTGGGGGGGTTGATGCGGGGATTTTGAGAGGGCAAATCCGGAGATGCTTTGGCATATTGCATGGTCACACACAAAGCTACGTGTTTGAAGAAGTGTTTTGAGACGTCTCGAAACACTTCTTCAATTCCTGAGATGCTTTCGCATATTGCATGGTCAGATACAAAGCTGCAGGGAGGAGAGTGGGGGAGAGGGGAAGAGGGGGGGAGAGGGGAAGAGGGGGGGAGGAGAAAGTGGGGAGAAAGAGGAAAGGGGGGGAATCTGAAACGAGCGTACCACTCTAATCCTGGACATTACACTCCCTTCACACACTCCCTTCACACTCCCTTCACACTCCTTCCACACTCCCTTCACACTCCCTTCACACTCCCTACACACTCCCTACACACTCCCTTCACAACCATTCTAATCATCGTCACAATCGCGCCTTGGTGCTGGTGTCAGTGATTCTTATGGAGTCCACTTTTGAGTCGACTCAAAAGCAATTGCAGCAAGTTCTACTAGCCGTTCCAGCACTTGGTGCTTGTGCCAGCACTTGGTGCTTGTGACAGTGATTCTTACAGAGTCCATACGCTGCTGCTACTACCAGTGTTTAGACTGAAGGTGGCATGCAAGCAACAATTGCAGAGAGTTCTACTAGCCGTGTCAGCACTTGGTGCTGGTGTCTGTGATTCTTATAGAGACCATACGCTGCTGTTACTACCAGTGCTTATGGCATGAACGAGGCTGTTTATAACGCACCTAGAGGGGGCATGCACGCAACGATCGCCTGCCAGATGTGGAAGTCCCACCTGAGGGGATGGGGGGGAGGCGGGGAGTTGGAGTGGGGAAGGGGGAGGAAGGGGAAAGGAAGGAAGTGGTTATAGGATGAACGAGGCTGCTGATGACGCACCTAACGAAGGCATGCACGCAACGATTGCCTGCCAGATGTGGAAGTCCCACCTGGGGGTGGGTGGATAGGAGGAGGGGAGAGGGGAGGAAGGGCGGAGGGAACTGGGTTAGGCCGACAGGGTCTTATAACGCACCTAGAGGGGGCATGCATGCAACGATTGCTGGGCAGATGTGGAAACCCCACCTTTGAGTCGACTCAAAATGAGTCGACTCAAAAGTCGACTCAAAATGAGTCGACTCAAAATGAGTCGACTCAAAATGAGTCGACTCAAAATGAGTCGACTCAAAAGTCGACTCAAAATTAGTCGACTCAAAATGAGTCGACTCAAAAGTCGACTCAAAATGAGTCGACTCAAAAGTCGACTCAAAATGAGTCGACTCAAAATGAGTCGACTCAAAATGAGTCGACTCAAAAGTCGACTCAAAATGAGTCGACTCAAAAGTCGACTCAAAATGAGTCGACTCAAAATGAGTCGACTCAAAAGACGACTCAAAATGAGTCGACTCAAAATGAGTCGACTCAAAATGAGTCGACTCAAAAGTCGACTCAAAATGAGTCGACTCAAAAGTCGACTCAAAATGAGTCGACTCAAAATGAGTCGACTCAAAATGAGTCGACTCAAAATGAGTCGACTCAAAAGTCGACTCAAAATGAGTCGACTCAAAATGAGTCGACACAAAATGAGTCGACTCAAAATGAGTCGACTCAAAATGAGTCGACTCAAAATGAGTCGACTCAAAATGAGTCGACTCAAAAGTCGACTCAAAAGTCGACTCAAAATGAGTCGACTCAAAATGAGTCGACTCAAAAGTCGACTCAAAATGAGTCGACTCAAAAGTCGACTCAAAATGAGTCGACTCAAAATGAGTCGACTCAAAAGTCGACTCAAAATGAGTCGACACAAAATGAGTCGACTCAAAATGAGTCGACTCAAAATGAGTCGACTCATTTTGAGTCGACACAAAATGAGTCGACTCAAAATGAGTCGACTCAAAATGAGTCGACTCAAAAGTCGACTCAAAATGAGTCGACTCAAAAGTCGACTCAAAATGAGTCGACTCAAAATGAGTCGACTCAAAAGTCGACTCAAAATGAGTCGACTCAAAATGAGTCGACTCAAAAGTCGACTCAAAATGAGTCGACTCAAAAGTCGACTCAAAATGAGTCGACTCAAAATGAGTCGACTCAAAAGCTGGGCAGACACTGATTGGAGACAGGCATACATGCACAATGCAGTGCTTGCAGGTCATACGTGGCAGTCCAACGTGGAAAGCAGAGGGGATTGGATTGGATTGGATCAAATTGGATTGGATTGGATTGGATCGGATTGGATCGGATTGGATTGGTTTGGATTGGTTTGGTTTGGAGGAAAATCGAGTGGACTGAATTTTGAATTACACGAGAAATGTGAGGATTGGGGATGAAAGGTGAACTTGGGAATGGAAAAAATCCGTGAGCGGAGGGGGGTGCATGTGAGAGGCGGGAGGTGCATGTGAGAGGCGGGGAGGTGCATGTGAGAGGCGGGGAGGTGCATGGGAGAGGCGGGAGGTGCATGTGAGAGGCGGGAGGTGCATGTGAGAGGCGGAGGGGAGGAGAGCATCGAAAAGGGGCCAGCATTTGAAAGAATAAGAACAGAGGGGATGGCGGTTTGTTTTTGAGTCGACTCAAAAACCGACGCATCAGGGGGGGAGGTGAGCATCGAAAAAGGGAAAGCATTTGAGAGTATAAGAACAGAGGGGATGGCGGTTAGGAGGTTTGGAGTAGGAGTGGGGGAAGGTAGACAGGAGGTTGGGAGAAGTGGTGGGGGGGAGGAAGAATGGGTTTGGGGGGGTAATCGGGGGAATTTTTGGGAAAGCAGAGGGGAGATTGGGAAGAGAGTGGGGGAGACTGGGGATGAGGTTGAGGGGGAATCGGGGAGAGGTAAGGGGGGGATTGCGGGAAGACTGGGGGGAGCTGGGGAGAAACTTGGGGAGCAATAGGGGGAAGTTGGGTTGGAGATCTGGAGGAGGGAGGGGGGCCTGGGGGTTTGAAGGCCCTGCCAGTAGGGGAAGATTGGGGGACGAATGGGGGGAGGGGGGGAGGCGGGGAGTGGGTAGGGGTCGGGGTTGGGGGTTTGCAGGCCCTGCCAGTAGGGGAAGATTGGGGGACGAATGGGGGGAGGGGGGGAGGCGGGGAGTGGGTAGGGGTCGGGGTTGGGGGTTTGCAGGCCCTGCCAGTAGGGGAAGATTGGGGGACGAATGGGGGGAGAGGGGGAGGCGGGGAGTGGGTAGGGGTCGGGGTTGGGGGTTTGCAGGCCCTGCCAGTAGGGGAAGATTGGGGGACGAATGGGGGGAGAGGGGGAGGCGGGGAGTGGGTAGGGGTCGGGGTTGGGGGTTTGCAGGCCCTGCCAGTAGGGGAAGATTGGGGGACGAATGGGGGGAGGGGGGGAGGCGGGGAGTGGGTAGGGGTCGGGGTTGGGGGTTTGCAGGCCCTGCCAGTAGGGGAAGATTGGGGGACGAATGGGGGGAGAGGGGGAGGCGGGGAGTGGGTAGGGGTCGGGGTTGGGGGTTTGCAGGCCCTGCCAGTAGGTGAAGATTGGGGGACGAATGGGGGGAGAAGGGGGGCGGGGAGCGGGTAGGGGTTGGGGGTTTACAAGCCCTGCCCGAGTCGTTTTGGCTTGGGTGGCGACGCCATGACAGTTGAGGAAGATTGGGGGGAGGTGAGGGGGGAAGATTGGGGGGAGGTGAGGGGGGAAGATTGGGGGGAGGTGAGGGGGGAAGATTGGGGGGAGGTGAGGGGGGAAGATTGGGGGGAGGTGAGGGGGGGAGATTGGGGGGAGGTGAGGGGGGAAGATTGGGGGGAGGTGAGGGGGGAATTGGGGAGGGGGGGGGGCTGTTGTAGAGGAGAGCTGTGGGGAAGACTGGGGAGAGGGGGGGGAGGGGGGAGTCGATAGGGTGGGGGGAACACAGGCCGTACCCGAGTCGCTTCAGCTTGGGTGGCGGCGCCATGAGAATGGGTGGGGGAAAAGTTGGGGAGAGGGATTTAGAGTGGCCGTACCCGAGTCGTTTCATCTTGGGTGGCGGCGGCGTGAGAATGTCCGCGGATTGATGGGGGAAGGGAGGTGGAGATGGAGGGAAGAAGGGTGGAGATGGAGGGAAGAGGGGTGGAGATGGAGGGAAGAGGGGTGGAGCTGGAGGGAAGGGGGGTGGGAAGGGGTAAGGGGAGCGCTTGGCCGTACCCGAGTCGCTTCAGCTTGGGTGGCGGCGCTATGGGAATGTTTGCAGCGACGCCGTGAGAGTAGGGGGGGATGGGGGGGGGGGGGGAGAGGGGAGGGGATTGAGGGGGGGTTTGTGGGGGAAGATTGGAGGGACTTTTGGGGAGAGTTGAGGGGGGGAATGGGGGGGAGGTTGCGGGGAAATTGGGGGGGAGTTTTAGGAGGAGACAAGGGAGAAATAGGGGGAGGGCTTGACAGTACCCGAGTCGCTTCGGTTTGGCTGGCGGCGCCATGAGCATGTCCGCAGCGCGCGATAGTGGGGAAAGATTGGGGAGGGGAGGTGGGGGGGGGGGAGTGGGGGGGGGGTGTTCACCCGAGTCGCTTCGGCTTGGCTGGCGGCGCCATGAGCATGTCCGCAGCGCGCGAGATCGTCATCTTGTCGTGAGACCACCCGTTGATCGCATCGCTGCTGCCAATGCTGCTGACGCTGGCATTGCTGCTGCCGTCTCTGCCGCTGCTGCTCCTGCTGCACCTGCTGCTACTGCTGAATCTCGCATGAACTTTGCTTCTGAAACCATTGCTAACGCTGCTGTTGCTGCTGATCCCCCTGCTGCTAATCAGCCTGCGCAGCTGGGTATTTAGGCTCGGCAATTCGCGCAACTGGCTACTTAAGCTCGATGTAGCGTCAGCTGATTTATAAAGGAAACCCGGGTTTCTTTGAAACGGGGTAGAATGTAAACTCGAGGTGCTGAGGGCGGTCGATGGGAAAGAGTGATTCACGGACGACTGGATCGACGGTGGAGATCCGTCAAACGACGACGAAATGCGAGACCAGATGTGTCGCCAAGTGGCACGTCGCATGGCGACACATCTGCGACTGCTTAGACTAATCGTCACACGTGGCTCGGTGGGAGCCTGCCTTAGAAATGAGGACCAGAGCCAGAAGGCTGGAAGTGACTATCTTGCAACGTAGATTTGCTAGTCTTGAAAGTGCATGGAGGTTGCGAACTAAAATGAGCTTGGGTGCAGTGCGGTGGCAGGCCCGTCACTGAGTGCAGCAAGAGCGTTTCACTAGCCCAGGATGTGAGCTGAACCAGAATGATTGTACGCGATTAAGGTATTCACGATTAGCCACAAGGGTGTGACGGACACCTGATAGATTTCCTCCTAAGATCTTTATTGCAAATTGTACATTATTGTAAAAAATGTTAGAACTAGACAGCGGGTCTTATTGCTAAATTAGCCGCCAAAGCCGTACAGGGTTCTGCCTTGGCGTTTCAACGCATAAACCACATCCATGGCAGTAACCGTCTTTCTCCGCGCGTGCTCCGTGTAAGTCACGGCGTCGCGAATGACATTCTCAAGAAACACCTTCAGCACGCCGCGAGTCTCTTCATAGATTAGACCGCTGATACGCTTGACGCCGCCGCGACGAGCGAGACGCCTGATAGCCGGCTTGGTGATGCCTTGGATGTTATCGCGAAGAACCTTCCTGTGACGCTTCGCGCCTCCTTTTCCGAGGCCCTTGCCTCCCTTGCCGCGTCCCGACATGATGTGTAGATTAACGGCACACGGAGACCTGGTCGATACTTTCTCAGAGCTAGCCGAAGACGATGAGACGATGCCTTGGAAGCTCAACTGGACTTCAATGGAGATAAGGTGGTTCTTCAATCTGATAAACTGAAGCAACGACTAGAACGACGGAGCTGAAGTGTGAAAGAACTGGAAGTATGGAAACAAGGAGCGATTCACTGCTCTTTTATTCAGACATTGTGGCCAGGGTAGCTTTGCCAGACCAGAAGAGAGAAACAATGGACGACACGGTGCAGTGCGTTTTGGTGTGGTTTAGTGTGGTGAATTGGTGGATTTGCCCAGCCCAGTCTGGTGGTGCTGTGTTTTGTTGAGATGAGTTGGCGCATTGTTCGGTGGTGTTGAAGCTTCTTGGTCGTCGATGAGAAACATTTTGAAAGGCGTATCGACGGATATCCCTAATCCTTGTCGATCCCAAAATTCTGCAATCGCGATATCTGATTGGTTTACAATCCGGACAAGCTGTGTAGAGTTGCACCCGACGAAATAAAGTTCGTAAAGTTACCACTCCATGCACGACCGTAAAAGATAGCTGAAGCTTCAATTGACGGTCAAGCGAATCACATGGTTCTTCATCGACGGTTCATAGAAAAAGTTTCGATCTGTCACCCAGCTTCTCATTGGCTAACTTTGAAAGCACAATCAAACACAAATGTTTCGAGACTTGCAGCAATTCCCAAGAGCTCGTGCACCATGCACGCAGCTCCAGCGACGGACTCTCTTCCCCAACCCAGTCCAAACTCTTGAAATACATCAGTCCAGCACTAGTCTTCTGTATCTCAAGCGCCCACTCTCGCATTTCCTAAGTCCGTTAGCTTAGGAGTCCGCGCGAGCTTCGACGCCTAACGTTCGTGACCACCGTTTTTCAGTGCTTCGTCCTGCCGTCACTTCCAAGGCTCTATTTCCTGTCAACCACTTGTTTGTCGATTAACTCTGCGTTATCATGGCGCCAAAGGTAGAAGGGGAGCAGAAGGCGGCGAAGAAGGGACCCAAGAAGGAGCCCGCCGCTAAGAAAGCCGTTCCCGCGGGAAAGAAACCCATCGGCGAGAAGAAAGAGAAGAAAAAGGCTCGCAAGGCCGTCACGGAAACGTACAAGATCTACATCTACAAGGTGCTGAAGCAGGTTCATCCAGACACGGGAATTTCTTCCAAGGCCATGTCGATCATGAACTCCTTTATAAATGATATTTTTGAGAAGCTCGCGACGGAGGCGTCGAAGCTCGCGCGGTACAACAAGAAGCCGACGATCACGTCTCGCGAGATTCAGACGGCAGTTCGGCTGACGCTGCCTGGAGAGCTGGCGAAGCACGCTGTGTCCGAGGGAACAAAAGCCGTGACCAAGTTCACGAGTGCTTAGGCTCCTAGTTTCTTGTTTCTGTCATGTCAAATACTAATTTCTGCTTTCTAGCAATGTTGATAATAGCTAAATAATAAGAAGCTCTTCTCACAAAGGTCACATGCTGGCGATGGCCTGATTCGGTCTGGGCCAGGGCTCATTTAGGGTGTTAGGCCAGGCGGTGGTTGGTTTCGTGACTGACGGTGCCAGAAACCTGAACTGATGGGCTCGTGTTATGAAGTTGCTCAGTATTCTGAAGCTATGGTTGAAAAGCTGCTCTGCTCCTAACCCTTCTCTTTGCCTCCCTCCTATGGCTCACTGAATACTTTGCGGTAGATAACGGTAGCTCTAGAAAACAGGCAACAGGATGTCACAACACCAAAAGTATGGTTCACAACACAATCCCAGGAATTGTCTGCTTTTGAGCAAGCAACTGGATGGGCCCTGCCGAGTCCGCCCCATCAGATGTTTCGAACTTAGGAAACCGTATTTGGCAGAATCAAATATTTTCCCTGCCCAAATATTGTTTGTTAGCAGAATCAAATGGCAACAACAAGCTCCTTGGAATCTAAACTCACAAAAGAATCTTCCAGACGTTCTACACCCCCGCCTTCCCCTGCCTCTCCTTTCCTCCTCCATCTCCCTCATTCCTTAGCCCTACCTGCGCTTTCCCCCTCCCTCCTTGGTCCTCCTCCCCTTTCCTCTTTTCCCTCCTCCCTCACTCCCTCCCCCTTCACTTCCCCCTCCCGCCTGACTCATTTTAAGCAGCTTCGCTTCAAGAGCCTCAATGCGCGCCTCAGCCGCCCTCTGCTGCTCCTCCTCCTCCTCTCCTCTGCCCTCTCCCTTCCTTTGCCCCCCCTCCCCTCCTTGCTGCTTTACCCCTTTGGGTTGCTGGGGGGGAAGAGAAACGGATGGAGAGGTAGCATGTGCCTTCTCTGTTGCTGTTGTTGCTGCTGCTGTTGCTGAAGCAGCAAGTGTAGCAGGACTGATAGCCGATTCTCCTTCAACAGAATCACTTCCAATATAATCACTTCCAGCAGTAACGCTCTCAACTGTAATACTCTCTACAGTCACCTCCACTTCGCCCATTATCACTTCCCCTTCATCCTCCTCTTCCTCTTCTTCCTCCTCCTCCTCCTCCTCCTCTTCCCACTCCTCACCCTCCTCACCCTCCTCCCATTCTCCCTCCTCTTCCTCCTCTTCCTCCCACTCCTGCTCCTCCTCTTTCATCCTCCCTCCTCCCTCCTCTCCTCTCAATTTCCCCTTCACCCCTTCCCCCTCCATAACCCTCCCCTGTCCCCCTCCCCTCTCCCTTACCCCCAATCTCGACACAGTCACACCCTTTTCCTTAACCCTCAGCCTTCCACTCCCTCCAATCCCCCCTCCACCCCCCACCTCCCCTTCCCTCCCTCCTGCCGCCATATCTCTTAGAACCTTCCTCTTAATCTCCTCCACCCGCGCCCTTAGCTCCTTATCCTCCCTTAACCTCTGCAACCATGCTTCTTTCTTCTCCTGCAAATTCCTCTCCTGCAAACTCCCTTTTCCTGCAACAACCGCTTTCCCCTGCAGTCCATTCTCCCTACTAGTCATCTTACCGCCCTTATTCCCTTCAACCAGTTCTTCCTGATCCTCCTCCTGATTATCCCCCTTAGTCCCTTGCACTTCATAGCTTCTGGGAGGCGTGTCTCCCTTCTTTCCAGCAGGCGTCTCTTCCCGATCCTCCTCTTTCCGATCCTCCTCTTCCCGAACCTCCTCTTCCCGATCCTCCTCTTCCCGATCCTCCTCTTCCCGATCCTCCTCTTCCCGAACCTCCTCTTTCCTCATTGTCTCTCCCCTCCTCATTGTCTCATCCTCCCCTTCTTGCCATTCTCTCTCTGCTGCCAACACGCCTGTTTCCACCTCTGCTGCTGCCGCTGGTGCTGCTGCAGCTGTTGCTGCCACTGCTGCCGCTACTGCTGCCGTTGGCACCGCTGCTGCTGTTGCTGCCGTTGTTGCTGCTCTTGCTACGGCTGGAACAGTAGCATCAGTGTTCTTACCAGAAGTGCTCTGAACGGAACCGCTACTAACGGAATTGCTCTTAGCACGGTTGCTTTGCAGCAGAGGCGAATCAGCAGCAGCAGATGCGCCTATGAGCTTGCACGAAACGGCCTTCTCCTTCTGTCCAAACCGGATGGGGGCAGAGCGATTGTACTGCTGCATGAACCTGATGGGGGGGGGAAGAGGAGGGGGGGAGGAGGGGAGAGGGGGAGAGGAGGAGGGGAAGAGGGGAGGGGAGGGGAGAGCGATTCAGCAGCAGCGCCAACAATGAGCTTGCATGAAACGGCCTTCTCGTTCTGACCGAAAAGGATGGGGGCAGAGCAATTGTACTGCTGCATGAACCTGAAGGAGAAGTGGGGGGTGAGGGGGGAAGGGGATGAGGGGAGGAAGAGGGGAGGAAGAGGGAAGAGGGGAGGAACGGGAAGAGAGAGTCAGCAGCAGATGTGGCGATCAGTTTGCACGAAACGGCTTTCTCCTTCTGACCAAAGCAGATGGGGGCAGAGCGATTGTACTGCTGCAGCCTGCATGAACCTGATTGGGGGGGGAGGGGTGGGGGGAAGAGGAGGGGGGGGTCCGAGGGGGTTGGAAGAGGAAAGGAAGGAGGAGGGAAATGGGAAGAGAGAGAGAGTCAGCAGCAGGGGTGCCAATCAGCTTGCATGACATGGCCTTTTCCTTCTGACCAAACTGGATGGGGGCAGAGCGATTGTACTGCTGCATGAACCTGATGGGGGAGGAGAGGAGGGAGTGGGGGAGGGGGGGCGAGAAAGAGAGGAGGGGAGGAAGAGGGGAGAAAGAGGGGAGTGAGAGTCAGCAGCAACGACGGCGACCGGCTTGCAGGAAACAGCCTTCCTGAAACGACGGCAGCGGCAGCGGCAGGAAACAGCCTGAATCGGATGGGGGCTGAATCGGCGACCGGCCTTCTCCCTCTCACCAAAGCGGATGGGGGCTGAATCGACTTTTGAGGCGCCTCAAAAGGCTTGCAGGAAACAGCCTTCTCCTTCTCACCAAAGCGGATGGGGGCTGAATCGTTCCTGAATGAACCTGATAGGCAGGGTGGGGTGGGGGGTGATGGGGGCTGGGGAGGGAAGCGGAGGGGAAGGATGATATTTGAGTCGACTAAAAATGAACCTGATAGAGGGGGTGGGGTGCGGGGTAATGGAGGCCGGGGAGGGAAGAGGAGGGGGAGTGAGAAGGAGGAGCGAGATGGGGGTGAGATGAAAGGCAGTTCATGGTCGCGCTTGCTACAAGAGGATCTGGTCTCTATGGAAATTATCACATGCTACCAGCCTAACTTAACCCCACCAACTCTCTTGCACCGCAATGGGCCCATTTGCACCGCACTGAATCCACTCGCACCCCACAAGAGACCCACCATTCAGCGTCCGTCCACCAGATGCGAAAGGACACAAGGACGGACCACAAGGTGCAAGAAGAGGATCAGACTTGCACCGCACTCAAACCCATTTGCATACCTGTGAGCCGCTCCAATATCCTTAAAGCCCAGCCCACCACGGCACACCCAGTGCACACAGGATCGCGCGTGCTAGAGGAGGAAGATCCGGTCTCCATGGGAAATACTTCATGTTACTACCAGAACCACACCAACCGCCTTGCACCGCACTGAACTTACTTGTACCGCACTAGAACCACTTGCATCATAGAACCCAACCCCCAGTGCACTGCACACGGGGTCGCGCTTGCTAGAGGAGGGTCCCTGGTCTCTCTATTGAGAATTTTAAAAAGATCCCTGCAAGAGGAGGATATCCGGTCTCCGTGGGAATTATTGTCACGTGCTACCACCACATCAACTGCATTGCACCGCACTGAATCCATTTGCACTGCACTGTACCCACCTGTCAGCATCTGCCGAATAAAAGAATCCCACCACGGCGACCCCAGTGCACACCGGGTCGCATGTGCTAGAGGAGAAGCCGTCTTGCACCGCACTGCACCCACTTGCATACCTCTGAGCCGCTGCCATATCCATAAAAGCCAACACGGCACTTCCAGTGCACACCGGGTCGAGGGCGCTAGAGAAGGATTCGTGAAACGATTACATGCTATGCTAACCACACCAACTGCTTTATACCGCACTGTACCCATTTGCATACTACTGAGCCGCTGCCACACCTCCGAATCCCACCATGGCACTCCCTGTTCACACAGAGTCGCGCGTGCTAGAAGAGTCTTGCACCGCACTGAACCCGTTTGCATACCTTTGAGCGGCTGCCATATCCTTAAAGCCCACCACAGCACTCTTAGTGCACACCGGGACCTGCGTGCTAGCGAAGGATGCAGTCCCCATGGGAATTACTACGTGCTACCACCAAAAAGTGCCTTATACCACACCCACACAAGCACCGACTGCCTTGCACCGCACCGCACTCAACCCAATTGCATACCTCTCAGCCGCTGCAATATCCTTAAAAGCCCACCAGCACTCCCAGTACGCACCAGGTCCTGCGTGCTAGAGGAGGATGCAGTCCCCATGGGAATTACTACGTGCTTCCACCAAAAAGTGCCTTATACCACACCCAGGGTCGCTAGTGCTATACACCGCACTAAATCCATTTGTACCGCACTGAACCCATCTGCATACCTTTGGGCCGCTGCCATATCGTTAAAGCCCACCACGGCACTCCCAGTGCACACCGGGTCGCGCGTGCTAGAGGAGGATCCGGTCTCCATGGGAAATACCACATGCTACCACTAGGCCCACACCAACCGCATTGCACCGCACTAAACCTGCTATCATACCTCTGAGCCGCTGAAATATTCGCAAAAGCCACCACAGCACTCCCAGTGCACACCGGGTCGCGCGTGCTAGAGGATCCCGACTCCATGGGAATTATTTTCAGCAGCCCGGGCTGCCCGCTCCATGCTGCCCGTAAGTCCCTGGCGATCTTTTTCTTCTTGGGCAGCCCGGAGACACGAACCTTGATGGCTGACGATGGAAGGTCCGAGTCTGAAAATTGGAAATTGTGGGTGTGTGTGTGTGAGGGAGAGAGGGGGGGGGAGGAGGGGGAAGGAGGAGGAGGGGGTGGTTACAGGGGAGAGAAATGGGGAGAGGAAGAGGAGGAGGAAGAAGATGGAGAGGGGGGGGAGAGGGAAAGAGGACTTTAGACACAATTGATGGATTGTTGGAAGGCTGCAAATGGTAAACCCTGAAGCTAACCAGCAGTTCAAACGCTCGTACTTTTATGGTTGATGGTCGAAGGTCTGAGTCTGAGAGAATTCAATCGAGACAGGAGGAGTTTAGATACGACTGATTGAGGAGTCAGATGCTGCAAACGGTAAACCCAGAACCTGACCAGTAGTTCAGACGCTTGCACTTTTATGGCTGATGGAGGAAGGCTCGAGACTGAGAAATTGAAAAGGGTCGGTTTGTTAGGGGGTTTGTACGGGGAAGGGGAAAGGGGTGGGGAGGGGGGGGGGTTAAAGGGGAGGGAAAAGGGAGAGGGAGAGGGAGGGGAGTGGGAGAGGGAGAGGGAGATGAGGGAAGAGGGAGGGAGAGGAGGGTAGAGGGAGAGGGAGAAGGAGAGGGAGGGGGAGGGGGGAGGGAGAGAGGGAAATGGGAGATGGAGAGGGAAGGGGAGAGGGAGATGGAGAGGGAGAGGGAGAGGGATAGAAGGGACAGGGAGAGGGAGTGGGAGAGGGAGAGGGAAAGGGAGTGCAACGGAGAGGGAGAGGGAGAGGAGGGGGAGGGAGAGGGAGATGGAGAGGGAGAGGGACAGGGAGAAGCTTAGATACAACTTATTGTGTGGTGTAAGTTTGCCGATGTTAAACCCTGCAGCCAAACCGAGGCGAATCTTAAGTCGACTCAAAAGTCACCTCGAGAGGGAGAAGCTTAGATACAATGATTGAGTGTTGAAAGGTTGCCGATGTTAAACCCTGCAGCCAAACCAGCAGCCCAACCAGGACCCCCAAAAACCCTCACATGCCCTAAACCCTTCCTGTCACTGGTGCTCGATAAAAAAAAACCCGACTCAAGAACTTAAAGCCCAAGCTTGCGCTCTCAATCGTCCCGGCCACATCAACGAAATGAATTTAAGAGGTCAAAACCGAAACCCGACCAACAACTAGGAGGCTAAAACCCGAAACCCTTAGAGTGGGTGAATCGACAGGACATGGGCAGGGAGGAGGAACAATAGCTGACCAAACAAAAAGAAATGTTCAACAAAGCCTTTCTAAAACGGGAAATTCCTGACCTGTGTTGGCCTTTTTCCCTTTTGCAGGCGCGTCTAACACTCCTTGACTGTTCCGTCCCCTCTTCTCCCCTTGATCCTCTCCCTTCCTCTCTCCCGCCTTCACCCCCCCGCTCCCTCCCGGCTTGTTCCCTCCTCCCGTTGAGACCTCCTGATCCCTCTGCTGCTCCTTTTCTTCTATCTCCGCTAAGAGCTGATCCTCTAACGACGTGTCGTACTGCTTCGACGGATCGATAAACCCCTTGGGCTTTGTCGCCAGCCACCGCTGCATTTCCTCGATGCTTCCGAATTCCAAATCGTTGTCATCCGATTCGTAATTCTTTTCCTTCTTCTGCCCGCTCTTCTTGGCACCTTTCTTCGCCTGCCCGCGCGCCGACTTTTCCGAAGCGCTATTACGCGCTACCACCGGGGACGGTACATCTGAGGAAGGCGTTACCGAGGACGGTCCTGTCGAGGACGGTTTCATCGCGTCAGCCCGGCACACACGTGGCAACGCCACCGCATTTCCGGCAAATCTACCGGGAATCGAAAGAGAGGAGACGAGCGAGCATCCATGCGCCAACGAGACGGACGGATGCCTACGAGAATCGGTAGAGACGCACGAGAGGGGTTGACAGGAGGAACGTTGTTGATACGCGGAGCGAGAGGGACCCGCACTTGCGGAAGAGTAATGCCTTGGCACACTTAATCTGTGAGGCGCCTCCAAATCGAACGCACTCGGCAGGTTGACAGCTTTAATCGAAGCACCTAATACGGTGGTCACTGACGTCATGCTGACACAGGTCAGCGAAAGCCGAGAGCTTTGGAGTAACGAAACGCCTATGCCTTCATAAAAGTCGCGACTCGAAGTCGCGTGCTTCAGACTCCCTCGGGCCGAACGAGCTATTTGATGCGGAAATTCCGGAGTCGGGACTTGGAGAGTATAGCGAAGAGCAATTGTTCTTTCAGTTTTATGATTCTCCTCTTCTCTTGGAGAGTAATAGAAGAAACTAGACTGAATGAACAATACCTGAGGGGAAGGAGCTATCCTCCCCTCCCCGCACAAATTCTCTTTCGAAACGAAAGCGGTGGCGAACTTTCGCCCACCTCGCATTTGTTCTTTCGTGTTACCACCTCGCGAGGTTCGCCCAGTTGTAGGTGAAAGACGAATGCGCGGAAATCTCAATATCCGTTACGCGGGGAATTGAGTTGGCGTTTAGAAAGCTCTTCGCGCTACGAGTTTAGGAACAGAATTGGCAAGAGTAGAATGCAGCCCCCCTCACCCAACTCCCCCCTGAAGTATCTTCCGAATTCCAAGTCCAATATGTAATCTGGAGATGCACAACAATACCGAGGATACAGTAGTTCATCACAAGCACGCCAACAGAACTCTGATACTGCAGCAAGCAACCTTTGATTCAAGAACATCCTAGGCTACCTCAACATGGCCTCAACTCAACCCTTCTTGGCACAATCCTTCCCCATAGTGCTTATGATAAACATTCCTCTCCATGGGATTTTCTTGTTAGCCTTTCTCGCAGTCTTCACGAGAATTTTAGTAGCTTTCTTGGCATCACAGGTAATGAGCACATCCATATCCTCTGTCTCCGCCACGTTGTGCTTGGGACCAAAAAGGGAGCCCAGGCTGCTGGATCCCCACTTGAAGACTGCAAAAGGGAGGGGGGAGGAGATGAGATGCGAAATGCAGACGAAACATACGCACAGTCAAAGAGTGTTAGTGCTCTGTTAGCGAAGCAGCTGTGTTAGCAAAGCAGCTCTGTTAGCGAAGCACCATCGATGGAGGCAGACAGTCATTTGATATTCAGCAGTCATACCGACAGGAAAGTGGAAGATTTGATACAAGATCGAGCCATGGTACATGTTAAAACGAAACCTCCTCTTGTCGTGTCTCGCTGGTTAAGTGACAAGCGGTAACACGAACTAGCAGATCAGTGTTCTGGTAGCACAAACCTACTTAACACATCGTGCCTCATAACACTGACCTAGCACATTCTTGACAGTATAAGTCGGCTGTTTCCAGTCCTTGACACCCGGCCACCCCTTCTTGCCGCCAACCACCACTGTCGCCGCATGCTGCGTGGAACGGGGGGGGGGGAGGAGGGAGGAGGGGGGGAATGTCAGAATGTCGATGTTTGTCTAGCCTGCAGTGGGGTACTCTATAGCGAGTACAACCCAATTAGGGTTTCCTATGTGTATCTCAACTGCTGCTAGTGAAAACCCCTCTTTCCTGTTTCCGATTCTTGCCTATAGTTTCAACATGGTATCAGAGCAGGTCGACCCTCCTGGGTCGACCCTGTGGATGGGCCCGCCACCTAATGCTTCCGCTGCTGTCCTGCCTATCGTGCGCCCCGGGCGCGCGACGTGTTCTGCTTGCCGCGCGCTCGGGTGCACGGCGTATTTTTCATCCCGCCGCGCGCTCGGGGCGCGCGGCGGTTTTCTGCCCGCCGTGCGCCCCGAGGCGCGCGGCGGTTTTCTGCCCCGTCGATCCGCGCGTCGCCCCCCGTCGCCCGTCGCAGCGCCTCCGGGGACCCGTGCGTCGCCCCCCGTCGCCCGTAGCGGCCCGCGCGACCTGCGCCAGGCCCGCGCGCGGCCCGTACAGCCCGCGCGCGGCCCGTACGGCCTGCGCCAGGCCCGCGCGCGGCTCGTACGGGCTGCGCCAGGCCCGCGCGCGGCCCGTACAGCCCGCGCGCGGCCCGTACGGCATGCGCCAGGCCCGCGCGCGGCCCGTACGGGCTGCGCCAGGCACGCGCGCGGCTCGGGCAGCCCGCGCGCAGTTTATCCGGCCTGCGCCAGGCCCGTGAGCGGCCCGTACCGTCTGCCCCAGTGCCGCACGCCGTCCCCCGAGCTTCTGACCGCACTCCTGTGTTAGGGTTTGGGGGTGGAGAGTATGGGGGTGCCGTGTGTGTGAGCCGTCCCGTGCTCCTCCTCCTCCTCCATCTCCCACTGCTGCAGCTGCCGCTGAGGGGGGTGGATGTGTTGGAGCCGTCGGAGTGGTACGAGGGGGGTGGCGTGTGAGCGGTGCTAGTGGTTCAGCAGGGGGTGTGTGAAAGGGGTGTGGGACAGTTGGGGGAGGTTGACCGGAGGTAGCCGACTTGTCGTCCGCAGCGCCTGAAGTCCAGAGAGCCACAACCCCCTGTGGCCGTGTAGTCCGGAGCTCTGCGCCCGGTAGCCACAGTGTGAGTATTCCTGGTAGTCCAGAGAGCCACGACCCCCTGTGGCCGTGTAGTCCGGGGCTCTGCGCCCGGTAGCCACAGTGTGAGCACTCCTGGGAGCACAGTGAGCCAGCCGCGCCTGTCACCGTGTAGCCCGGGTTTAGCGTGGTAGCGTCAGTGCTGCGCACTCCTGTTGCCCGTGTGTCTGCAGCTTCAGCCGTCGCCTCTCATCTTCTCGCCCTCCACAGTTTCTCCTCCTCCTCACTTGCCCTCTGTGATAGCCTCTAGCTTTGCTTATCTTTGTGAACTATTGCACTGCCTGCTTGTTGTGTTGATTGTACCCCACTTTGACTATGGGGGTGTGTCAGAATGTCGATGTTTGTCTAGCCTGCAGTGGGGTACTCTATAGCGAGTACAACCCAATTAGGGTTTCCTATATGTATCTCAACTGCTGCTAGTGAAAACCCCTCTTTCCTGTTTCTGATTCTTGCCTATAGTTTCAATAGGGAAGGGGGGGGGGAACAGAAACTCGTGAGCAGTACACCTTATGTCGCCAGTTTCCAGTCCTTGCAACCGGCCAGCCCTTCTTGCCACCAACCACCACCGTCGCCGCATGCTGCGTGGAACGGGGGGGGGAGGGAGGGAGGGAGGGGGGAGAATGGAAAGACGAACGGTCTTGAGCCGTCGTGACTGGTTGGGATAGAGTTAGAGTCAAGGGTGACGTTTGAGCCACCTGACCCCTTCTTGTCGCCAACCACTACCGTCGCGGCGTGTTGCGTGGAACGGGGGAAGAGAAACGGAAACTTTTCGAACGGTACTTAGGCGTTGGGACTGGGTGACGTTTGAGCCTCCTGAGGGGGGGGAGAGGGGAAGAGCAACGGAAACTTTCCGAACGGTACTGAGGCGTTGGGACTGAGTGGCATTGAGTCAAGAGAGTCAAGCGTCACGTTTGAGCCTCCTGAGCCTATCCTGCCGCCAGTCAACCACTACCGTCGCCGCATGCTGCGTGGAATGGGGAACTGGGGGAACGGAAAGGCGAACGTTGTTAATCTATTGTGACTGGGTGATGCTGAGCCTGTTTTTGAGAGATCTCAAAAAACAGATGCTGAGCCTCCCGAGCCTTTCCTGCCGCCAATCACTACCGTCGCCGCATGCTGTGCGGAACGGCTCGGGCAGGGGGAACAGAAACTTTCCAAACAGTACTGAGCCGTTGTGACTGGGTGCTGCTGAGCCTCCCGAGCCTATCCTGCCGCCGATCATTACCGTCTCACTCAAGGCACGAGAAAGAAAATCAGGCATCATGCGCGGTAAAAGTCACGGGCGGCATGTAGACGTCACGTGCGGTGACTGAAAGCGAAGAGCGAAAAGCGAAACGAAGGGCGGGGGAAGGGGGGAACGGGGGAACGGGGACGGGGGGAAGGTCTTTTCCGTACAACGATCTCCCTTGAACTTACTGCGACTGCAGGGTGGGTTACGCCCGGAAGCTCCAACGAGAAGCCTGCACACGTGGGTGATGGGATCGAACGGGATTGAAGCACGCAACACAAATGAGGCGCGCCTAACCGTTGAAGGACGGGATCGAACGGGATCGAAGCACGCAACACAGCCGCGACACAGAACGAGGCTCCTGAATTTACGGGATCGAAGGACGGCGCACCTCCATATGGGCGCGGATTCAGAACGTGACAGCACTAGACAGCACTAAACATCAGGCTGACGATGTCGCGTCGCCTATGCTTTAGGCCTAACCGTTCAAAGGCAGCATCGAACCGACGCATACCTGCCAACAGCAGCAGCAGCACCACGCACAGGCGACTCATGCTTTCCGCAGAAGCTGTACTAGGAAGGGAGTGAGTGTTTTCGATCGAATCGTTAACAGGGGTGATTGCAATGCTCCGGCGTCTCTAGCTGAACGACCAGGGGCAAGGCTCGCCCCATTTATCGTCACTACTGGTGCCTTGATTCGCGAGACACACAACAACCAACAACCCCGCGTCGACACGACACCCATTCCGCTCCGCGTCGAAATTGAGAAGAAAGTCGTGGTCGGAGCCGCACGCGGCAGGCTCGCCCCATTGACCGTACTGCGGGTGCCTTGATTCGCGAGACAAAACCTAAC